GTGTGTGTGTGTGTGTGTGTGTGTGTGTGTGTGTGTGTGTGTGTGTGAGTGTGTGAGTGTGTGAGTGTGTGAGTGAGTGAGTGAGTGAGTGAGAGAGAGAGAGAGAGAGAGAGAGAGAGAGACTCACTGGAAAAATAAAGCCAGCAAGAACACTGTACTGTCAGGTAGACTGTCCTGCGAACAGGTGACCAGAATGTAACGTAATGATATAATCCACCTCCATAACTTAAACAAGCAGGAGACACAATATAGACAAAACTGGCAGCCCACCCCTAACAACTCCTGGAGACACAAAGCCATCAGCTGGGCAATGATCTTACAGACGACAATACAAACTACTTTTGGCAGCTCCTACAGTTTTCTGACAGATGAAAAAACTGGATAACGTAATGGAACATTGTGACGGGCCTAATCACCTCTTCCCCTCATCATCAGTTATGATTTGCACTCTGCATCACCTTTCTTTCTTTCGTCATGTCCTACTTTTCTTTTTTGTTTCCCCACAGGCTCTTTTGTATGAAGATCACAAACGTAAATCAAACCACGACTGAAGCCAGCGGTGTCGGGTCTCCGTTACCAGAGCAGCAACGCAGATTGTCTTCACCTCATTCCTTACTGCTGCCTCAAGAAAACAGTGAACTCTCCCTGTTATAATTAACTGGAAGGACTAGTCACCATGTTTGTCTGTGAACTATGACAATTCAAATGGGGCAGGGAAGCAGACGCTGACCAACGCTTTGCCTTCAGGAAGAGGGCGTTAATCGACTGACTAGCAGTTCCTCTTTTTTTAACGGCCGACCCGCTGCCTTTAGTTAATCTCCTGAATGTCGTCATGGTCTTTGTGCCTTATTTGGAGGTGGACCGCTGAGAGAGACAGATATGTGACTTACTTTATATTCCAGAGATGCCGGGAAGTCGGAAAATCAAACTTGCTGATAGCAGAAGTGTAATGAAGCATGATGCAGTTATCTGACATTACACACACTCTACACATGCCGACTTCCAACATGTTAAGATTCCTCAAAGTACAGTTAACTTAGATTTTTAGGACCATAAAATGTGCTTGATGCTAAACCACAAAATCTTTCCCTTGCGTCTCTGGCGGTTAGCTCCGTCCTGTCACATGCTTAAGTGTAATAAGCCAGTGTTGTAGTCAAGACCACCTAAACCCGGTCAGAGTGTATCTGTATCGAGACCGAAACGAGACCAAAACTTTGAGTGTTTGAGCCGAAGTGAAGACCAGAACCAAGGCAGTAAGAGTCCCACTCTGCATGACACACTTTCAATAATAGATGTGGATCATGCGAACCACAGGCTCTCCTTCCTTGATCTGAAAGAGCACACCTTGCACCTTTTTATTTTCTGTATGGGCTCAGTGCTGCTTGATATATAAGAGCTGCTGTGTTCCTGATTTGGGGATGTCGTATAGGTATGGGCTTTCATTGGTTTCAGATTTTTCTTTTACATTTTTATTCTGTTAAATCTGGGAATCTTAAAGGCTCTTTGTGCTTAAGCATGCAATATAAATACTATTATTATTATTATTATTGTTATTAATAATAATACACTAGTGGGCTACTTATTTCTGCTTTCTTATGGTCAAGGAAAAAAATATGCAGTAAAATAGTGGCTGTAATTTCATCAGAGATGTTAGTTGCGTTTGTTGGGTTCAATTCTGACGAGCATTTATTGGGGTTAAAATAGGGAGAAGAATGCTCGACCTCAGAACGAGAACCTCACTCAACATCTTGATAAACGTGAATAAGTAACCAGCAAAGAATGTCAAAGAAAACACCCAGCAATCAGCTATTTAATAAATTAGTCAAAGCTTTAATCTTCACCGTTTGAGTCATAATCATGCAGCACTACAGCCTGAGGGTCAGTCAGGAACTTATGGGGGGGGATTTTTGGGGAAATCTGAATCGTAGTCATGTAGGTCTGAATTGTCTGACTGCGTGAAGAGCAGCTGGTGACGGTGGGACCGAAACATTTCAGGGATTTCACCCCCAGCTGAGAGATGCTTAATGTTTATTTTTGTTAAAAGAAAGAAGCTTTGCACAGAATGTTGACCACAAAACAGTGATCAGTTGACACATTCATTTATTATGGTGCCAATGTGTGTGAAACAGTTTAGACTTTAGATAAATAGTAATCAGTCAAACCACAACTCTGGAACAAAAACGTAAGTCATTTTTTTTTGTACGTGCATCAAAGCATGTCATCACTGCCCTTTGTGCCTTCTCATGTAGCCTTGAACTATAAATGCTTTTAAAGAAATAAAATGTAAGATATTGTTGAGATGTAAATAGAGATATAGGAAATCAGTTGTTTGAGATGTTTTATATGCCATCAGTTTGTATTGTATCTGTATACAATCCTACTCTTACAACGTGCACTATGAAGATATTCTGTGCATACAATGTCTCTGGGTCCTTCAAATGTTAAATGATCTATTTATGTTAAAGACAGTAAACGACTGGAAAACATGAACATGACGGGTCTTGTTTCCTTCACTCTGGTGACACTGCAGAACATACTGTTGTCTTTACTTACAGTTTAACTTTGTGTCCCCTAACATTTCATTTCCTCCTGTCATTTTTCTCATCCTGCCATAGTTCAACTGTATCGGGTTCAAACTGAGATCATTTTGATCACAAAGGTGCATCGTGTAAGATTTAGCCATACTTTGAATTTAAAACATTCAAAATTGAAGTAACATTATCAAAAGAATGTTTAGAAGAAACAGTTTTGACTTTGAAGCCAATGCAGAAGTGCAGTATTGTCACACTTCATGAGTGCTGAGAGCATGGTGCACATGAGGCAGGTTAGTTTACAATGTGCACACTGATGAGAAGCTGTTTACCTCTTTTATACCTCGGGGTGGTCCCACCTCATGTATCTTTATTTGCTCATACTCTCCTTGGTTAAGGCTGCTTCTTATCTTATTTTTATTAATAACTAACAAACCCTCTGTTCTCCAACAGGCCAGGGTTTGATCCTTTTGTACCTTTCCGGATATGAGACCACTTCTCTCAGAGGTCTCTTAGTACACTATAGGTATTCAAACGTGTGTGTGTGTGTGTGTGTGTGTGAGTGAGAGAGAGAGAGAGAGTGAGAGAGAGATTTCTCTCACACTTCTCATGCTGCTTCATACTTCTACTCTACATCATATCAGAGGGAAATACCTCACTATATTTAGCTTTAGTTACTAATTACTTAACAAATAAAAGGAAACAACCTTTTGTTTTATTCTGATAATAAATTAGCTCGCGATAAAGCTTGTTTTCTCAAGATAATGGCATAATCAACTTTTATTGTCAAGATAATATTAAAACATGTTTTAGTCATGCCTGTTTATGACTTCCGTAGATTGATTATGCAGTGTGTCAGCAAACTCACTTTACACTTCGATGGTCTCCTGTTGGCTATAAAATAAGATAATCCTTTATTAGTCCAAGAGTGGGGACATTTACAGGATTACAGCAGCATAGTGGATGGTGCAAACAAGAGATTTAGTAAAGAAACAAGTCAAAAAGCTCAGTGCTGTAAAAGGCTGCCACTCGTGTGGCGCCGGAAGTCATGTCCAAACTTTGTTTTGAAATGGTGTTTTTGTATAATATTTGGAATGTTTCTGAGGAAAAATGTTTAAAATGCAGGACTTTTACTTGTACTTTACTTGAGTATTTAAACAGTTCGGAACAAGTGCTTTTACCTAAGTAAAGAGCCGAAATACTTCTTCCACCGCTGGTATACATTCTGAATACTTTATTAGTATTTTATTAACGGGGTCAATGGCGTCAGGAATCTCTGGTGCAGTTACACGCAGTGACCAGTAGGCGTCACTGTAAACCTGTCAGCGAATCAGAGAGCGAGCCGGGGGGCGGCGGAGGGGGACATGACGTCATTGTTGGGGTATTTTCAAGATGGCGCTGGACCGCCACTGGTATGCCACTGGTGCAGCCAGCTAAAAAATACGTCGACGTTGCATTTCTTCAAGGCGGAACAAATACTTTTACTTTAATACATTAATAAACTAAGATGTTCCACCTGGTGAGTGTCAGGTCATGTTGAAGGCTAAAATGGTAGCCCCTTCTTCCAAGAACAACAAAACCTGCTGCTGTTGCTGCTGCGGAGGAGGAGGAGCCGGGACGACCGGGCAGGAGGACTCGTTGCGGGATTTAACGCCCGGGGCCGAGGCTCGCTCGACGGACTAAAAGTGGTCATGGACACGACGAAGGAGAACGGAGGAGGGTCGTTCGTCGTCGACTTAAACGAGAACGAAGAAGGCGGAGAGACGGAAGCCGGGAAGGGTCAGCTGTATGTGACCGGTAACGAGAGGAATGTAAACAGAGACACCTCGGTACAGCACGAGAGGGGGATCATGTTGGATTTGGTCGCGGCGGAGAAGTACCTCCCCGGCCAGATGACTGGCAGCTGTGTGATTTCGGGGGTCCTGAACGGATTCACCGAGTCATTCGGCCAGGAGGAGCCGACGATGGTCGGAGAAGGAGGAGGGCTCGGCCTCGCAGGGACCACAGGCGCTTCCTGTCCAGCTGTGCTCGGGGGTCGGGTTTCAATGGACCGGCAGCCGCCTGCGGGAGAGAGCGAAGGGGAAACCCCAGATTCCGACGACGTCACCCCGGGAGAAGAGGCCACCGGCAGTGGCAGCATCAGGACTTTCCTCCCCCTCGATCGACTGCCGTGCACGGGCAAGCACCAGCGGGACTGCGCGTGCTCCACCGCGGCCCTGCAGCATCCAGATGTAAAGATGCCTAACGGGGATGTTGACAGTCCGGATGTCGGTTATTGTAAACAGACGGGCCCGCTGGTTCTGGGCCAGAGATTCGGTCTGTGCGACGTGGACTGCGAGGAAGTGAAAGTTGTAAACGGTGGTTTACACATTGTGACCACAGCAACATGTGACTGGTCCGACTCGGACTATTCCCCCGAAAAAGGGCAGGAAAACGGGGCCGGGTCGGGATTTTGTCTGAGGAGCCAAAGCGACTACAGCGGGACATTGGTTTCTCAGTGCCCGGGGGAGAATGCCACAGAGCCCCCTCACTTCCTCGACCCATCCGAGGACTCTCCCACCCGGGGATCAAGTGCCAAACTCCCGTCAACCCTCTCCAACGTGAACGGCGACCGCGCGCTCTCTGAACCCAACATCAGGCAAGACTTCAGTGACCTCAGTGTGCCCGTCAGGCCGCAGAGTTTGAGGACTAGCTCCAACGTCGTGTTGTCCCTCAGCTGCGATGCCACCCCGTTGTCCCCCGACGAGGGGTTTTATTTCGGAGATGAGGGGTACGAGGAGGACTTCAGGAACGTGTTGGAAGCGGGTCGCAGGCAGAGCGCCCCGGATAATCTGCCCGATCTGTCCGAGCAGACAGACGGCTCGGACCCCCAGCTGATGCCAAAGAGGTTCGGCATAGCTGATTTCTTCACCAGGTAAATATGAGTGCTCGATCCGTCCCCTGAGTCACATGTAGGCTGTCAACACACAGCCCCAAAGCAAACCAAACAACCTTTACTTTAACCCAAACATACTCTGAGTACCTGGTTTATTCTACCCTGCAAGGGCCTGTCCTCATCTACTTGCATTTTAAGATTTTACTTTATATATAATATATAATCCTCACTCCTTAACAGACTATTTGTAAAGACTTCAATATTCTACTAACTATTAAAATCCCTGTTTCTGCACCACTCCTGATTTAGGAAAGAAACGACAGAAAGGCAGAATGTCCACTCCTCTTGTGCATTCATCCCCGTTTACTGTAGATTTTAGGGAATGCAGTAGTTCACACTCCACACACTAAAGCTGCAAGTCACCCTGACTTTAATCCCAATTTAAACATTTAAATTACCACATTAAAGACCAATGCTTGAGTGGTGAGATTCCCCCCCAGAAAATACAAAAATGACTCTTTTTATAACGAGAGAGAAAAACATAAATATTTCAGCATGGACTCGAATACAGAGATACAACACACGCTGGCAATGAGCTCCAGATACACTCGAATGTGTTTTTTTGGCAGGTTGAGTTGTTTTCAGTTGAAGTGAAGAGCTGCTGTTGAGAAATTGTTGTGAGGACTCTTCGTCCTCTCGATCACTGCCAGCATGCTTCATTCCTCATATTCTGCCTCGAGCTTCACCTGCTAGAATAGAGAGCACCGTTTTTCTTGTTTGCCTTATATGCCAAACAGGTCGGGATGGCAATAAATTAATTTATTCCACATATGCAATCACAACTGTTTGTTCAGAGGCGTTCAAGTTGTTCATGGATGGATATGTGGACACAGTGGCTCCACAGCGCTGTCTTCAAATGTCTTGTTTTGTCCGACCGGACACCAGAGGTTGTTGGATATATTTGCAAGATAAAGGACTAATTGATCATTTCAGCAGTAGCAACATTTCAACCTGTGACCCGCATCACTGTGTACATCTGCTTTCCTCACTAAACAGTCTTCTTTTGTGTTGCATAGAGAAGAAATGGAGAAAGAGAGAGAGTTTGGAAGGAGGGAGAGAGACTTCTGGATATTGAAACCCGGGCGGACACCTTTCTGATCTGTACATTTGTCCAATGAAGATGTTTGTATGTTGTTTGATGAAAACCCTCCATGGCAGCGTAGAGACATGGAGTTCAATGAGTAAACCAGAAATGTATTTTGGTCAGCTATTACATTTCCTTAACATGGTTTAACTGATGAATCACAACATTAGGAACTGCTTACTCTGGCTGTTTATTTGCAGACTAAGATTTATTTCGTAATTATGCTCCAATCGGAGCCCGTTTACATTGGCACAGCAACACATTTCATCTATCCCCGTCAGAAAAGGGAAAAGAGAAACGTGACATTTAGCAACTAAACAGATTTCTCCTGCAGAAATGATATTTTTGTCATTCCTCACTCATACAACATGTTTCCCTTTGTCCACATGCACCTTTGCTTCTACAGCAGTGATGCTTTGTGCCCTAACAGAGGCCAGAGATATGGTGTAATAATTCCATATTTAACATCGGCTTCTGTTCTTATAGCAGGATTAAAGAGGATGATAGCCGGGCGACTTGACCATTTTGACATATATCGGCTTCTTTTCATAGAAATGGCAGAGCTGCAGTCCGTGGTCTATGGCTGTGTAACAGCTCGCATGTTAATCGTGCCCCAGTTCCGCGTATGTGCAGTAAGTGATACAGCAGGGCTCAGTGAGCAGTGACTCAGTACAGCCTCTTTCCTCAGGGCTTAGCCCACATTCACTGCTCCCTCTGCTCCTGGCTCATCCATCGGGCCGATTCATCACACCGTTTAACCTCTGCGATGTTGTGCCTACATGTCCGCGTGTCATCAGGTGTGAAAAAGATTCAGGCTTTCTTACTTCCTGAAAAATGTATATTTTTGTCACAATCACACGATCCTTTTTCAACAACTACACTCGCAGGCCTTAAAAAGTGTATTTGTCTTTGTGTCACTCTTGACATTTACAGTATTTGATGCTACATTGTGAAGACGGAGCTGTAAACATTAAGAAGTATTGTTTTTTTAAACAAATTAGCTTTATATTCCCCCCCCCAAACAATTATTATCCTAAATCAAAGTAATTCAATTAAGGAAAGATGTTTTTACTCTGGTATAGTTGCCACACTGTCTCCTACTATTCATCATACCGTAACCTCCGATACATGATTGTTAAACATGTCCCGTTTAAACTGTGCTCGTCCTGGAAGGAATGTACAGAAACAAGGTTTTAGTCTGCCGCACCTAGACCTCGTTTCTGATCCGCTATGAGCCACAAGTCTGACACGCCCCCATCTCGTGCTCAGACCGACACCAGGCAGCACGTGAGGCCTTTTTCGGGAATCGGAGGAGAGTGGAGCAGGTTGGTTGAAGCCCGCAGGTAGACGTGTCGTCTGTTTGTCTTAAACCGTAGAAACTATAGGAGGCAGAGGTGAGACTGCTTCTACAGCCAAATCTCTGCTACCGGACGTCCAGGCCAAACGCAACAACGCTGTCTAACAAACATGACAAACATTAGTGGGGGTTTAAAATAGGCTGAATGTACAAGTGTTTGCCTAAGATGTGGGCAGTTCACTCTTGACCTACAGCTAATGCAATGTGAGTCTTTGGGATCCAGCATTACATCACAACGTGGTTTTCTAGTGCTGGTTGTGAGGATAGTCCAGATCCACTTCATTTGGTCCTGATTCTCCTTTGATACAGAATCAGATTCGGTGCTAATTTTAATGATACTTTTGTTTTTCCCACAATACTATACTGTTTCCAGACCTCTGAACCGTCATCCACATCTTAGATTTCTTTAATTATTCAAATAGATCCGGTGTTGTGCTCATTGATGACTGTAGGGATTAAGAATGTGGCCAAGAAAATGTAAAAATATCTATTAAAAATGGCATAAATTAGAAATAAATACCCCCCCACCGCCTCCTACACACTCGTACTATCTTGCAGCTCTACTTCAGTTAATGCCTTCATCCCATTTCAGACATCTGATCACTACCATTATACGTGAGAGGAACTGCACCCTGACAGCATTCTTGTAAAAGACGTACAAGGAAGTGAAAGACAGCTGAGTGCAGTTCTTAGAGCCAGAGGGAAATTCTTTCTCTGTGATTACTGATGCAGTGTAATGTTGTGCGGCTGGCAGGTGGAGGAAAAGTGTTTGTGAAATCTCCGTCTGTGTCTGGGCCTGGTATTTGGGTTGGACGCGGGCCTCGGCAGCTGGCTCGAATGTCACGGCGTCTCAGAGGAAATCCAGACAGACGGAGAGAAAAGCTCCACGCTGGCTGTGTGGTTCTCACTGCTGAGGGGTCAGTGGTAGAGGAGATCAAAGCAGCTCCAACTAACAAATACAAGCAGGAATGCTGCTTTATTTAAACTACAGCTATCAGCCTAAAGTGGATTTACAAAACAAAACCTTCACCTTCTCAACACCAGCTTGTTATAGTAACATGTTGTGACTTTTCTTGTTCAAGGCTCAATTTATCCATCCGTAAAATCATGGACATTAATAATAACACTGCATCCTCTCATTTGTGATCAGCCGAGGTTGAATCGCACTGAAATGTGAGAGAAACACAATCATCTTTAAACAGAATCTGAAGGTAAACCGGCCAAAATGTTGGTATTGGAAGCGTTCTGGTTTCCGTTTGTAGTCCGAGTAGACCGTATTTTGTTACTGGCAGGTAAACAAAGTGGAGAACAGAAGAGGCAGCACCCATCGGCTGTCATCTGACCACTATTATGCGTTTTATTAGCCAAAAGATAAACTGTTAAATGAGTGTAAACTGGCTACTTGATTGGCTGCATCAGTGAGATTCTGGTGTTATCTGAAGGGGTGGTTGAACCATGTGGTGCGTATATATAATATGTTACTGAGCCATTTGGTAATCCCTTTTTTTGCATTACATAACAGCAACTTTGTGCTGTCACATCATTGCCAACAAGTAAACTATTAGTACAACAGTTTGCCCCCAAAAACACAACTAAAGTGGTTTTGTTCACTATCAAGAGTGCTTCAGCGTAATGTGGACCTATCAGCTGTCACCTGGTGGTGTTTGGTGTTTGATTGAAGGGCCAAGAAACACACATCAACCCATCAGCAATGTCTCTTTCCGAATTTTCTCAACGCATCCTGTTCTTGTTTGTCCCCGCTGATACTCTGTGTTCATTTTCATTAGTTTACAAACGCTTCATGCTTGGGAATTAGATTTCCTCTAATCACCTTCGTGGTTAATTATTTACGACCACACATCCTGTGCACTGCACCGAGGGAATCGGGTTCGATCTTATCACGCGCACGTTGTGTTCGTGGCTTCTTTCTGGCTCTGCTGAACAAAACGATGCTTTCTTTTTTTAAGTGTTTAGCTACAGGTGTGTGTCTCACTCCAGCGTGAGAACAAGCTTCTGATCTGAGGAACAGCTCTTTGTAACCGGCACAAAGGGAAACGTCGTGTTTTATGTTTAGCGTGCTGGAGTATGAGTAGTGACAACTTGGCCTGTTGGATCCGACTAACGCTGCTAGCATCTCATTTTGTTCTCTCCAGAAGGCCGACACATCATCTATTAGCTGTATCCACACTCGGATAACTGTTGCAGGTTCAGTGTTTGATCCTCGTGTTTGTGATATTTATGCTTCCCACAATTACAACACAACAGTCTGATTTGTCATTTACTGCAGTTGGTGAAACCCAGACCGACTGAACAGAAAGTTTAGAAAATAACTTCCTCTTTTCTGTTTCTGATGTGTTGATTCACTCCACAAAAGAAGACGCTGTCTACTTCTGCTTCAATACACTTTTTACTTAAGTAACGTCTTCCATGCAGGAAAAAGCAATCAACAAAAATGAACTGTTTGTGCATATTAATATCTGTACATTTCCTAAACACTGAATGTGCTGTCAGGAAGAGTCCAAGTGTTGGTCTTCAAAGGGAGAGTTTGTTTTCTGACACTTTGCTGGATTCTCACACAAACACTTCAGAGTGAAGAAAGTTGAGCCAGCAGAGAAGGGAGGAATAATATTTACGTGTGTGTGTGTGTGTGTGTGTGTGTGTGTGTTCGTTCACTTCCTTTTCATAATCCTCCAGTTCCTCTCCCTCCTTCCCTCTTTCTCTTTCCACCAGCTGACCAGCAAACTCTTCTTCCACTGAAACAAATTCAAAACTGATGAGCTGGCAGCTTGTTTTTTTTTTTTGCTCCAGCATCATTTCAAAAAGCGCTGCAGCTGCACGACTGTGGTTATGATGATGATGATGATGATGATGATGAGAGATTAATCCCCTTCATTACATCTTCACTCTTTGTAACGCCGGCGCTTTTCTCATTCATTTTTGAGGAACTGAATTATTTTTCTGCAGCTCTTAAGTCGTCAAGAACTCAACATTTCAGAAGCCACTCGGATAATGTGATGAAAAATGTGTAATTTAGAATGAATTATAGTAAAATAAACAATATTCTGAGATAGTGCATGTTAAGTACCCACTTATTGATAACAGAGGAACTTCCTTGAAAGAATAATATAGAGATGTTCATTAGAAGAATGCCAATTAAACACTGTATATATATATATATATATATATATATATATATAATGTGACCCATATAATAATGTTACCAACAGGTTTTCAACGCATCAACATTAAGTTAATTTAGAAGATAATAGGAACCCTGGTGAATGTTCAGTGATTTGGTTCATTTGTTATGTAACGTTTGGTGTATAAATTGTTTTAACAACATGAACTTGCATATTTTACTTCAGTATAGAGGTCAGATGATCTTACATATTGATGATATATGTCAGTCAGTCTCTCTGTCAGTCAGTGTATTGCAACATATTGTCATTGCTGTGTTGACCAATGGTGGGAAGGTGCAGTTTACAGTTTCAGTCTGACCTGCAGCAAGTGGAAAGGTTTTTTCCGGGTGAAAGTTTTTCCGCTCGTTGCTTTTGAAGAGACACATTTTTTGCTTTTATGTTTTGATTTGTGGCTTCCTGTGTGGAGACGGTTTCCTGCAGCGATCATATCATCAACACCAGAACTACATTTGGACAAACAGGGAGAATGTGCAACACGTTGCTCTGATGCACAAGTTCTGTACATGAACATTTGATACAGTGAGGCTTTGTGAATATGAAAAAAACGGTATAAATGTTTTTGAGGACAAGTTCTAGGAAAGATACGTTTGAGTTATGAGTCCGGATCAGCTTAGAGATTTATGAAGTTTAGCTGTGATACTGATTCCTTCTGTCTCTCTTTCAGGAGCCTGTTTACTAGGAAATCCAAAGAGCCCAAGGCATTGTCCCACAATGCAACAGGGTGGCGACTGTTCGGCAAGACAGCAGTTCAAGAAGATCCAACTACAGACCCCGACTCCACCGAGTCCACACAGCAGGTCGGCTCTTTGAACACACTCGCATCATCACCGCCATCTCCAGGATGGCGACATCTTTGTTTTCTGGTTTATGTTCTGCAATAACAAACCAGCTCTGATTCATTCGTAGCAAAATAAAAGGTTTAAATGGAAATCTACTGCGAGGAACAATAGTGTCCGAACCATTGACTCCTCTCCTGTGACACCCTCAGTGTGTGAGGTTGCTTTTATTTTCTAATAATGGACTACAGATCAGATAACAATCAGCTCTCACAGTAACCATGTTACTGCGGTGCACATTCACTGTGTTAGCTTGATTTCTCTCCACCTGGTTCCCTGTGTACACGTAAATATAGTGAGCAATAAGTGCTGAATCAGTGTGCTGTTGTGTATAATGTGCAGCTTTTCTCTCTAGTGTTGTAACTGTAAACTGAATAGGTTTGTGTTTTAGACTGTCGCTCAGGCCAACGTCACTTGCAGACGTCTGCTTGGGCTCTTAAAACTTGTTGAGTATGCGTGGCGTTTATGTTTGTGAAAGGTTTTTATACATCGATTTAGGTAAAGTCCAGATGCTGCCTTGTATTTCTGTGTGACCAAAGAAGTTAAAGGCTTTAAATACAGGGAAGTGCAGCGTGTCATCAACCCTGCGTGAGATGTTTGGTTGGTCGGCCTGATGATGGTGTGTGTGCGTCTGGCTCCAGAGGCTAATGCAGTTAGCCTGCATCTGCTTACGTACAACATGGTGGCTGGAAAGAGACTGTTAAATGGATTTACTGTGTGTGTGTATGTGGTCGCTAGGCAACTTACACACACTGCCTGCAGCTGAGGATGCAGATCATTACCAACCCTAACCACACACACTCACTCACGCACGCGCACACTCTCAATTCAACCCACTATCCCCCACCTGCTGCGGGTATAAGGTCTTGCCAGCAATGACACACATACACACTCAAACATACACAGCTGTTCCTCTGCTGTCGTCTAAAGCAGGTGGTATCCTACACGCACACACACACACACACACACACACACACACACACACACACACACACACTGCTGCAGCAGCAGCTTTGTTTCTCCAGTTGAATTTAATTAGAGGTTTGATTTTCATATCAGAAAAACACAAAAAAAAGCACTAAGAGTGTGACACAGCTGCTTCCAGACAATCCTCCAGCTGCAGGCCTCGGCACCGGCCCGTCTTTGCTGCAGCACCCTCGATGAAGACGGCAAATCCCTGCGATGCTTATTGCAGCTGCAGGGAGGATCTGTGACCCTACTGTGTAGTGTGAAGGCAGAGGAGAAGGACTGAAAGCTGACGGTGCTGCAAACCGTCTGACGGCTGCTGGCCTTTGCGCTCGCTCAGCTCACATGATGAAGGAACCGGCCAGATGTGGTTTGGCTTCAGTTGGTTGACACGTCGGACACAAAACTATGGAGGGGGAGGCGAAAGGCTTACTTCATTTAAACTGTTTCCTTTGAATTCAGACTGTGCAACAACGCAGGAATTACTACCAAGGATTACTGTGAGTCTGATCATGTACTAATCCTCATTATCACCGGGATTAATCAACAATCATTTCTGCAGTTTGCACGCTTTTTGCATCTTGATGTGATTCCTCTGCAAACATCACACTCTAACTAAAAGTATGAGGACTCACCACAGACCCACGACAATACAATAGGATGCTCCATGACCTCATTCTCAGTTATTAGAAACCAAGAGGACCCGTGAAGGTCTTCAGATCGTTGCATTGAATAATATTTTGACTACAGTGTGCTTCCAACTTTGTGGAATGTTTCAACATGACAACACGACCATGTCCCCATGCACAAAGCCAGCTCCATAGAGAAGTGGTTTTGCTAGTTTGATGTGGAAGAACTTGACTGACCACATCCCCCAATCCCCCATCCGACGCCTTTGGGATGAACTGAAACAGGACTGTGAGCCAGACCCGATCACCCAACGTTGTTGTTGTTGGATCTCACGGATGATGTTGTGGCTGTAAAAACTCTGTACATGATACACAGCAGCTTTCACGACGCAGTTAACTGACTTAAATCACCTGATTTTATACATATGACTCTCACTTCGTAGTGAAACTGATGACAAAGCAGCAGCAGTTGAATTTTCCATCATCACAGTCCGAGAGTGAACTCGTTCTCCCTCTGCTGGCGATGCTCAGAGATCCGTGTATGAAAGGCTTGTTGTCTCGTTGACCCGCAGCTGTCCTGCTCCTCTGAATGAACTGTTTATTGTGCATCACTTCGACCTTTAGACCTCAGATACAGAAGTTCCCCTTACACATGGACACAAACGTGGACATTCATTAAGCAACCTATAGGCCGCATACATGCACTCGTAAACAACGTTCACACCACGTAGATGCTTCGTCGCTTTGATGGTGCACGCATGAACACACACACACACACACAGTCACCCACAGATGGAGATTTATTCATTTATTGTCCATCACTAAGTTGAACATAACATAGATAAGAGAGGAGCTGAGATCACTGTGACAGCCGTGTGTGTGTGTGTGTGTGTGTCCACAGGAAGAGCTGGAGGAGGACTTGGGTTTGTCCTCGGGTCCTCCGCTTCCCTCGGCTGCAGGGAGAAGGAAGAACCTGGAGTTTGAGCCTCTTTCCACCACAGCTCTCATCCTGGAGGACCGTCCAGCGTGAGTACCAATCAGAGACACACGTGGAGCTAAAGTTTCATCTCTCACTGGTTCAGTCTGAGGAAATGTGGCTTATGGTGGTTTTCATATTGGTTTTATACATTATTGATTCTTACTAACTGCCACAGAAACCTGGGTTGATAAAATAAATAAATACTTGATTAATCCTGAAAACAACTGCCAGATCAATTGATAATGGAAATGATCGTTAGTCGCAGCCTTAAAACACTTTAGTACTTCATTTTAATATTTATTGTATATTGTTAAGTAGTGTGTGGTTTGATATAAAAATGTAAAGTGATTCCAGGATGTTTTTGTGCCGTTTTAAGAGTTTGAAGCATACTTTGATCATCATCAGGATAATGTCCTGAATCGGCATTTGCATATAGTCCATGCTTAGTGTCAAGTCATTTTTTTTAAGTGCAAACTCTCAGACTGGTTCTCTGCATTTCAGGAACCTACCGGCCAAATCTCTGGAGGAAACTCAGAGACACAAAATGGAGTACGATGAGATGGTCGCAGGAGCCAAGAGGAGAGGTAAACACAAACACACACAAAGAGCAAACGGCACCAACTAATTGCAACCAGCGTCTAAAATTGCCTCTTTTCCTCACCTGAACAATCTTCCTCACTTTATTTGATGCAGAGTCATTGTTCTGCTTTGATTAGATTTGCTTGGCTCAGACAGAGAAAGTTAGTCAACAGGAAGACCAAAGATTAAATGCAAGTAAAACCTGGTACCGTCTCACTCTATCTCTGCCTCGCTCTCTCTCTCTCTCTCAGAGATGAAGGAAGCCCAGAGGAAGAAGCGTCAGATGAAGGAGAGGCACAGACAGGAGGACAGCATCTCCAACGCCATGGTTGTCTGGAACAATGAGATCCTGCCGCACTGGGACAACGTGTACGTCTCCACAGCTCAGTGTGTGTGTGTTGTGTACACAGCGTGTGTGTTTCGGTGTGCAGCGTGTTTATTTTTCTCATTGTGTGTGTGTGTGTGTGTGTGTGTGTGTGTGTGTGTGTGTGTGCGTGCAGGAAGGGAACGAGGCGGGTAAGGGACCTCTGGTGGCAGGGACTTCCTCCCAGTGTCAGAGGACGAGTGTGGAGCCTCGCCATCGGCAACGAGCTCAACATTACACCGGGTACAAACTGATCGTTACAAGCAACAATGAATTAATTTCTGAACTTTTCTGTCACATGTCGAAGTGAAAACCTGATTCTCGGTTTGTGTTTCTCTCTTTGTGTAGATCTGTATGAGATATTCCTGTCCAGAGCCAAAGAGAAGTGGAGGAGCTACAGTGAAACCAGTTCAGTCAACGACAGTGAGAGTGGTACGACGCATCACCGGTCTGAATTATTTGCCTGAACGAGGGCGCGTCTGGTTTAGAGCGGAAACGTAATGACTTTGCTTTATCAATATTAACCGTCCGTTTTTAAGCTCGAAAAAGCTGTTATATCCTCAAATTCCAACTCTCTGTGCAGACCTTAAACTACCCCTCTGGCAGTGAGAGTGATTACAAAAACACTGTCGATGTGTTTTTGTATGCAGAGTCTGATATGCTTTCATACTTTTGTAATTCAATCTACACCAAGAGACATTATGTCATTATTATGTATCACATTATGTAAAGTCATTAAAAATGTCCTCATATGGGATTTTTGAGTCCATTTTCATACGTCGTCCTCCTGGTCACTGCTGGCTGATCAATGTGGTACTTAAAAACCATTTGGTCACCGTAGTGTAGCTGCTGAGTGTTCCCAAATATCACTCATTGTTTACAACACTACTAGTGCTTGACAGGAAGAATGTGTACAGTACAATGGGCGGGGCAAAACCGTAAGACATGACTATTCAGGTCTGAACTGAGCCTGACAGTCAACTTGAAGATGTGCCATAAAATAAAACGTACACAACCTTCTAAAGTGAGATAAGACGCTGAAACTCTCTCTCGTGTGTTTTCCTGTTAGACGGAGGGGCGTCTCTGGCTGACAGGGAGTCCAGTCTGGACCTCATCAAACTAGACATCTCCAGAACCTTCCCCTCTCTCTTCATCTTCCAGAAGGTATTTATTCTGTAACAGCTGCTGTGTGTCATCTCTCTGCAAGGAGTGTGTGCTCTTGTATTTCTATCATTGTGAGGACAAGTTGGTTTTAGAACTTGTTTTGTTTTGTCTGTTGTTGCCTTCCGCCACCGTCATTTTTGAATGCGTTTAAATTAAAATCTTAACGTTCTCTTGTCTCTCTGCAGGGTGGTCCCTACCATGACCTCCTCCACAGTGTGCTGGGGGCTTACACCTGTTACAGACCTGACATTGGCTACGTGAGTTTGATTATTTGTCCGCCCTCAAAACAATAATTGCGAATATTTAATTGTTTACAGTCAGAATTGAACTGAATTAGATTTTATCCTGCAGGGTTTGGAACGGTTTCTTTGCCTTTTCACATTGTACACATTTGGTGTCTAATGTTTAGACATAACCCGTTGCGGCAAGAATCCACATTAATAGCCCGTCTTTAATGCTGATCTGGAGTCTGTGTTGTTGTTATGTTTCAGGTCCAGGGAATGTCATTTATCGCTGCCGTGCTGATCCTCAACCTGGAGGAGGCCGAAGCCTTCATCACCTTCGCCAACCTGCTCAATAAACCATGTCAGATGGCCTTCTTCAGAGTCGACCACGAACTGGTACACACACACACACACACACACAATAACTGTTATCTATGTTCCTCATTTTGTTCCCGTATGGCCCAGTCCCTCATCATCTCTTTACTCTCTCTCCGTCTGTGTCAGATGTTGAAGTATTTTGCAGCCTTTGAGGTTTTCTTTGAGGAGAATCTGCCTCGTCTCTTCAGCCACTTCCAAATCAACAACCTAACCCCTGACCTCTATCTGATCGACTGGTACGTTTTAAATACTCCATTGTCTTTGAAATATTCTGTATTCAGATGTTTTAATCATGTAAAAGTATGTTTTTTTTCTTCTATATTATGAATTGTCTAATTGACTCCTTTTCCTGATTTTTGTACTCGAATGAGAGCCTTTGATTTTGTGAAGTAAAAGTATGATTCTGTGTGTCCCTGTCCAGGATCTTCACTCTGTACAGTAAGTCCCTCCCTCTGGACGTGGCGTGTCGGGTGTGGGACGTCTTCTGTCGGGACGGGGAGGAGAGCTTGTTTCGGACGGGGCTCGGTATCCTGCGCCTGTTCGAGCAAGTCCTGCTCCAGATGGACTTCATCCACATCGCCCAGTTCCTAACCCGCCTGCCGGAGGACCTGCAGGCACACACACTCTTCACCGCCATGGCCAACACACACATGATCAGCAAAAACCGCCGCTGGGCTCAGGTCAGCATCACACGCACAGAACAGGGCTCTGAAAAAGACTTTCAAATGAGTTTTAAATAAAAAGTAGATATTGATTTTCTCCGTTTCCTCACAGGTGTTTTCTGCATTGATGAAGGATGGAAATAAAGACACGGACAAAAACTCCAGCCCGGCTTTGAGAAGCTAACACTAGCCACCCTCGACGCTAAACGACCACCTTTCTTCAAACTAATCGTCAAATGCAAGCTGTGAAGGTTGAAGGTCATGCTAGCCAGCCATGAACTTCAGAAGAAAAAGCGAGCTCGCCGTGTCAGCACCGCTAACATCCGAGGTTAGCTGTGAAGCTTGAAGCTACGTAGCCTGAAGCTAAACCTTCCCTCCAGAGGCGTCGCTACGAAGCTTGAAGTGAACACGAGCCAGCCGTGAAGGTGGAAGCTGAGGTCAGAATTTTGTACCGGAGACGAGCTGTTGGCCTGCGCAGGTGAAGGAAGAAGCGAAATCTTTGTTGGAACCCGAGCGGGAAACCAAAGTGGTTTGTTAATTCTAAACTTTAACAGCCATTGTCAGTATTTCTCCAACAGATTTTCGGAGAAGCGCCTGTTGTTGTTGTTGTAGCAGCAGTGTCACTGATCTACCAGCCTACAGAAGCGGAAAAATTAAAACTGACTTTCAGATAATATGCTGTTATTTCACCTGCAGACTGGAAGGGAATATTCACACGCTTGTGGGAATCCTGCCTCCATGTCGGGACACAAACACAGAGCATTGGGCCCCATGTAATTCTCCTAAACGGCTCAAATTCTTATTTTCGGTGCTAGCGATTTTCTAACGGCTTCAAAAATGACCTCTGTGTTTAAATTGTTATTGTAGCTCCTCGTAGGTTTTGATTTCACACTACTATTGATTTGCATTGTTTTAGCTTGAACTCTGGATCATCTGAAATCTGCAGTAGCATGGCTGATGCTGATATACTGGTTGTAGCTGATAAATTAGCTTCCCACTTTAATATCCTAGCTTTTTAAAATGCTCATCTGTAGGCGAAAACACACGGGAATATGGGAAGAGAACGCAGGACACAAAATAATGGGGGAAATGGAATAATTTTGTACAATGTAGTCTTTCTGATAATTATTAAGAAATCAAATAATACACATCTCATCAGTGATCGTAATAAAGTACAAGCAAAACTAAATATTTAGATGTTTTACAGAAAATGTCATCCTTAATATCAGAATCAAAAGGTATATGGGGGAAGTTTAGTGATGGTGGGCATAGAAAGTCACTGCCCTTGTTGGTGTTCAACCAAACAATATTTTTAGAGTAAAAAAACAACTCTGGTAGAGTTTCTGCTGGTCATTTATTGACATGAATTCATAAAATGTGGATTCAAATCAATTGTTGCTAAAAAAAGACAGAAGTGTCAGCTGTTGAAAATGTTGTTTGGGTCAAACTGATCATATGAACCTTACATGAAGGAGCGCGGGTTTTAAATCAGTGTTTCATGGATCCAGATCTATCAGAGAACTTTATATATGCAGCACTGAGCTGCATCATGGAGACACAACTACACAGAACGAGCTCAAACTAAATACACGGGGCATTAAGTGCCTCATTGTTTCCTCTCTCTGTGGTTGGAGGGAATACAACTAGACGACCAAGGTTCAATAGAAACATGTCGGCAAAACATGCAGATACCAGAGCAACAATACTGGCTTTTAGCTTTTACTAGTTTCAGCTTGAGAACGAAGCTTTTTAGTCTTTGCAGCAGAACTTTTGTCGCTTGTTCCGTCGTCTGTGAGAATGCAAAAATTAAGTTCAGCAGCAGATTGAAAGTTAATATTAATGAACTCTTAAAAAAAAGCACCTGCACGTTACAGCATTTTCATCACAACACTCTCCTCCATTGTGACACACAAATCTAATGTTCACTTTCGTCAAACGTTTATATGATCCTTTGTACAGCTGGATGTCTGCTGCTGACCTTACCGCCCCCACAGTCAATTAATCAATTAGTTGATCTACAGCTACTTATATGATTAATTAAAGTGACATTCTCTCAATCCAGCTTCTGAAATTTGACGTTGGATTGACTGTCAGAATAGTTTCAGATCAATTGTTTTTAGAGCTGAAACAATAAGTATATGAACATAAAATGACTCCATTAACTGAGAGAATAATCTGCAGATTAATTGATGATAAAAAAATAGTCATTACTTACAACCCTCTATGCAGCGTTAACCTTTAAAGGAGGCACTCTGAGGAAGCTCTCGTGCCTTTAAAAGCAAGCTTACAAGTTCTCTAAAATACTGAATAAAGCAACAAAGATGGAGTTATCTTCCTGTTCTAGATCGAGCAGCCCCGAGTGATTCCATTTATTTAATCTGGATTATAATCTAACAGTACGCCGCCCCGTCAGGTCTTTTGGCCTGTTGAAGTGCTTTACATCACCTCCGTGTCCGCTTTGTTATTAGCACTCCTTTGATTTCCACACACTATAAGCCTTCACCTCCATTTCATCCCTACCTCTCGATGACCATTCCACATACGCGCACACACTACTGATGGCGAATACTTTCCACTTACCTACCAGCAAATGAGCAGGCCTTAAAAACGTGGACCAAGCAGCCACACTGTAGTTTTCTCACAGTGTGAACTTCTGCGTCGACTGCAGCTTTTATCGGTTGTTGAAGCAGAAAACTCACTGGAGACGACGAGCAATCCTGGAGGAAGGGAGAGGAAGAGGAGGTGGGAGGGAGACGAGATGTTAGGTGAGGCAGTAAGACGGGACGTGGTTTTATTTATGCATTTTTTAAAGTTCTGTCCCCCTTTCTTATTGAAAATGATTAAGTTATTGTTGCTACAACGGCAACAAGTGATTCCTGCAGAAAATGCAAAATGTCACCGTGTAGAGTGATAAAATGGAAATGAATTGATTGCAAAGTATCACATATTAATACTTTGAGAAACAAAACTAGTCAAACAAGAAAGTTTTAGAAAAGACAGTGAGATGTGTTGAGGGTCAGAATGTCTCTCAGCCGAGCTCTTCCTGTTCTCCAGGTTGCATCTTTTCTGGTGAGTGTTTCTGCATCGCACTAGTGTTGCACCAAATGACTCCGTGATAAGGGTTTGTTGTTGTACATCGACCAACCAGAAGCCAGTATTCATGTGTCCAAGCTGGTATCAGTGTTGTTTTGGGGGTAAACTCACCATCCAGCTGAATTGTTTGTGTTTATTGAATCATGTAGGCGAGATGTGATTTATATACATTTTATTTTTGCTTTACGCGCCATCAGATAACTCCAGAAACTTCTGCAAACTCTCACATACTTTACACTAAGACAGCCTCATAACCTCTCAGCTATTTAGGGAGTTAACTCAGATACTGTTGTGTTTTTCAAAGTAAAATTTGACACAGACTGAGTCAGTAATACAGGTGTTAGAAGCAGCATGATTTCATACAGTTAAACATGCATAATAAATACATAAACGCATGCATGTCCAAAAATTTAGACAAGAAACTGCAGTTTTCACTGGCATCACATTCGTTATTCAGTTACAAACACACAACTCTTAAAACACCTCCAATGAATCCGAGAAGGCAATACAAAATAAGCACTTTGTGAACATGAGCTGCTCTTTTTAACAGGTACACTAATTACACCGAGCGCAATTAAGCTCAATAAGGAACTTGCAGTAATTGTTGGTTTAAAGGTAATAAAATCCCATTAATGAACAGGTTTCTTCTCCAGGTTTCCATTAATCCACCATAAATCTGATCTAACAGAAAAAGATCAATGTGACTCCTGTGGTTTTATTTTTGTATTTTTGAATCCTTATTTACTACATACCTGTGATCTTTGGGGGAGTCTGTTATCATTGTGTGCCTGCAGCCTTGTTTGTTATAGCTCGATGGACTTTTCCCAATTTTCAGTTTGTCTCATGGATCCTGAGGTTTTATAATACAAAAAAAATGATCTCAACCCTTAAAACTTAACTTAAAAATGGCCAAAATTGGAGTTGCATGGGTCTTAGACAACGATATCCATTTGCCACCCAAAAATCTTCAATCTGTATCATTATTATTCATAATAAACAATGTTGAATTCAGTTGTATTTGAATTGGCTTTGGCCAAAAATCACGCTTAATATCCCAAAATGGAAAATGTGTCACTTAAACACAAATATTTCTGTGTTGATAGCAACACGTTTAATTTATTTTAAGCTCTGTTATTATTTTATTGAAGGTTTATCCAGATATTTGATGATTTTTTTGTTCCAGTATTAATATGTACTATACGCTATATGAATATTTGTTGTCATGTCAATAAATTAACAAACAGTTTCTCTGAGAATGCATTGAATGTCAGTGTCTGAAACACCAGAATGGTAAAGGGTTCTACAAATGGGATTCAGAGCATTGATATAGCAGCAAACAACCGTTAGCTACGTAGAGACGTAGTGGAGCAGAGAACAACGTCACTCCCCCTCTGTGTGTTGTAATGCGACTTTCTCTGTGCTTTGTTTACATATCCAAGCCAGCCGTGCATTTTAGTGCATGCGAGTCTCTAAAGCTAATGGCCTAGCAGCTGCCTCAGGTGTTGCCATGTTGAGAGTCACGTGGAGGCAACAGATACGCTCTAAATCCTGTACAGAGAACATTTTACTAATCAAGACATTAAATTAGCAAATTATAATTTAAACATGTTTTCAGACTTCTTCTCAGTGTCCATGCTCAGTATTGATCATTCTGACCGGACAAACTGAAACAAATGACAGCTGTTGAAGTAAACGATGTTCCAAACTAGACGCACAAATGTCTTGATGATGAAAGAGGCTACTGTCTGTGTGTTTGTGCTCATCTTCACTCTTTTATACTCCTTTAATTTGGAAGAAAAAGGTGCAAATTTGTCTTGTTTCTAGGCAGGAGATACATTGACAGTAATTCAAAATGCTCAGCAGGTTGATTTAACGTTCCCTCATCTCACTCCAGATTATTGATGACATATTCACACAGCTGCAGAAAGGAAGATGAGATTAATTAGATATTTCCAGCTCATATATGTTCCATGTACTCATTTTATTTAAGTTTCATCATCACTCTTAGTTGTATTTTTTACTTTCATGTAGATTCATTCAGCTTTTTACATTTGTTTATGCGTTTTATTTTTTTGTCAAATTTCAGTGGAAAGTTTTTTTCATAATGCCTTACAGGTGATGTAAATAAACTGTAAAAAGTGTTTTTTCTTTTCATATAATGGCCACTAGTTGAATGTGTAAATAAATATCTCAGCAAACTGACTTCTTTCTGTCATTTAAATCTCAACTTCAACAGCACCAGCACAACACATTATACTACTATTACAACATATACTATGACTGTTTTATTGCATAATATATTGTGACATACTATACATTGATTATTGTTATTTTTTTTTTCATACTATAAGACTTTTTATTAAAACCTTTTTTTGACATATTATACAATTACTTTTTTCGACAGTATTTAACAACATATAAAATATGCTTCAGTGACTGATACTTGCAAATGGAATCAATTTCATCTGCTTTATAGGGGAACTAAAGTTATTGTAATCGTTGGAAGTTGTGCTATGTCCACTTCAGACCACTAGATGGAGACTGATGACCAGCTGTAACTTTCAGAGCTTTATTCTTTGAGCTGTCAATGGACACATCAGGTTACTGTGAATATCTCATCATTATTACTCTGTGAGCAATTAGCAAGAACACATCATGTGAGTCTCAGCCCATGGTACAGTTATGAGAGGTGTAGTTGACAATAGTGTTTGGTCTTTGTTAAACTAAAGAGGTCATTTAATTTGACTGTCCAATGCAGATCTGATCCCCATTTGCAGAACACCAGTGGGACTGTTAAGCTTCATCAGGTCTGAGAATGGTTTTGTGTGCAGATTAAATCAGTATTAAAAAAAAAAAAAAATCTGATTTGAATCCGACTGTGAACATCTGTGGTTTGAACCTCTTTAGTAGTGAATCTTGGTCAAAGCGGTGCAGATGAACGGCGACCACACTCGGGGATCTCAGGTATTTCCGAGTCCCTGCGGTGGAAGTGAGGCGAAGCCGCGAGGGGCCTCTCGCCGCATCTGAGCCACAGGAAGAATCTGTGGAGGTATTTGGCGGCAGTCTGGGGGCTTTCCTGTGGAGGTGGGGCTGGAGGGGAAGAAGGAGCCTGGTGCCCGGGGGCCTCTGGGATACCACAGCAGGAGGCAGGGAGGCCGAGGTCAGGGCAAAGGAGGCTGCATGGAGGGGAATGGATGAGAGTTTAAAGAGAAGGAAAAACACCAGCAGCAACAGAGTGGAAATCTGTAAAGAAACACTCAGAAATAAATCAAATGTCAAATCAATCAGTAGTGTTGATGGACACAGTCCACAATGTAACACACAAGAGGAATAGACAGCAGTGTTCCTTCTCTAGACAATAAGGAAAAGGCATAACAACCTCCAGTTTACCTTAAAAACATTTTGAATGTTTGACGTCAGTGGTTTGTTTACTTGACGTCTGGTTGCACAGGAAGCTGAAAACATGTTTTCTTCTAGCTCAAACATCAGCTAAGTCTATGAGTCATAACCATCATTCTAGAGTGCTCCTGCTTTCTTTGCAAGTTAATATAATATCACTTTGATTGAGAAATTTCCAAATTTGTTTGTCTAAAAAGTTAAAATGGCATCTGTTGGCACATGCACAGTATTATTAGTACAGAACATACATTTCTTGTACACCAACTTTAAAAAGGGGTATATTATGAATATAATGCACAGTGTGTATTTTACAGGCCTAGTATTAGTATATCGTGGCACTGGGTCTTTTTAAAAGCTGCAAACTGCCCAGTTGTAATGCATCTCATGCAGTTAAAAATGCGTTTTAAAAATGTAAAACTGTAAATAACATATTTTAAAGAGAAAATACTGTAAAAAATAAAATCTTAATATCACTGACCTTTAAGGAGTTTAGCGTCTCACTTTGCTGCAGAGATGTAGAAGTGTACCTCAGGGTGTGTCAGTACAGTATGACATCACTGCTGGGTGAGGTCACAGGTGTTACTCTTTAAACAGGCATGTATGGGGCCTTTCAGAAAAGGACAGTTAATCCCAAAGCAGGATGAAACTCATGTTTAATCTTGCCTGTCTGAAGGTCTCATTCATTGCATCCCAGTTTAACAGAGATCCATGGTCACACACACGCGCCCGCACATGCATTGAAACAATACTTATGATTATATAATTTATAGACAGTGATGTGTACAGTAATTATTACTATATGTCAAAAAAACAGCAAGCATGTAAACAATTATTAATTTAAATGAGAAGATAATGATTTATGGGAATGACATATACATATATACACACATACATACACACATATATATATATACATACATACATATATATATAAAAGATATTGTCTATATGAGTAGGATTAGGTAAAAACAAAGAAACCGGAGGAAGGAGGGTGCAGACTATGGGTCAACACAGTGTTTCCTGTCCCCTGGGATGTCTGGTTGCTCTGGATGACTGGATCACTCATCTCTCCTCCTGCACTCTTTCATCTCTTCCTTCGCTCTCTCCCTCCTCCTCCACTCATCACTCAGTCACTACAGGCCATTTGGTTTCTGTCCACATTAACCTCTGCTGAGGGTTGCAGCGATCATACCACCGTTACTGAGACTACCACACCATTTGATTGACAGGTAAAAACTGGGATGTCACCTGTCGGTGAATATTGACGAACCTTAAAGTCAGGCCATCATATCATACGAAGAAAACCTACTCACAAACTGCATTTAAGTACAACTTTGAGGCAGTATTTTAATTTCATACTCCACTACATCTCAGAGGGAAATGCTGTACTTTTATCTGACAGCTGGAGTTACTAGTTAGTTTAAGATTTTACAGACAAAACATATCAGTTTATAAAATGCGATACTGTGCTGAATAAACTATGCAACAACATGTAGAATAGTTTAAATGTGCTCCAACTTCACCAGCTGCAGCATTATAATGCTGCTAACACGTTAAAGCATGTGTAATAACATTCCAATAATTTATTATACAACTTTCTGAAAGGGATCATTCTGCCCAACAAGTACTTTTATTTTAATACTTTAGGTACATTTTGCTGTTAATGCTTTTGTAACTTTACTTAAGTGAAATCTTGAAAGTCAGACTTTTACTTTTAAAATAAATATTGTTTTAGTGCGGCATTTCTAATTTTACTTAAGTTAAAGATAGAAGACTTCTTCAACCATTGCATAAATATCATATATTAAACTAGATTTCAGCTCCACAGAGTCCTCATCAGGATGCAGTTATTAGAGTTATTATTACATTAATCTATACACTTGAAGTAACGTTCTACTGAAAAGCCAGAGTCTGCACTGAATGACTTGACCTGTCTGACAAGTTTTAATATTAGACTTTTTCTTCTCATCTGTCACAGTGAAACCCTTTGAACTCTTCGCCTTTACAAGTTTAATCTAATTTGAGTTTATTTGGATGTTCCGTCTGCATGTCCACAGGTTTTCTATGTTAACTGTATATGAATGGATAGGAGAGCGTGACATAGAATATCCAATCAACACTGTTCCTGAGACTGAAAAACAGTGTTGAACACAAACAAGGAAAGACATGTTGTTCTCCTGTGTGTCTTTTTCTTGTTTGCATCCGTGTTTTGTATGGCACTACACATAACATGCTTTAGGTGATGTAAACAGAGGGGTGCAATCATGGAGTCTTGCGAGTTAGTTTTTGTTGGCTACACCTGAGCACCAGCGTTTCTAGTCTCATTACATGCATCGGGTCCTTTCAAAATAACCTTCCATCTTCACAGGAAGGTTTAGGCAACAAACCCACTTAGTTTGGTTTAAGAAGTTAACTTTAATTTCTAGTGACTCACGTCACTACCAAGTAACTCCCGACTCCCGTAAACATTCACTTTTACTTTCGATGGGACATGAACACCTCTCTTGACTCTCCAACTGAGCAACATACTGATCGGCTCATTCATGTGTGCATCGTCTTCCCCGTTTTCCCAGTGTCACTTCTTTTTAGGTTCACTTTTGTATTTCAAAAGTTATCACCATTGGATTATTAATATTACTACCTCTGATAAGCTTCTTTGAGACCTCCAAATTAATTAATCTTTTGAGTGTTTACCAAAAAAAAAAAAAAAAAAGCTGTAATAATGTGACATAAAAGCATGAGGCAGAACACTACCGAGGGGTGTCCCACCTGTGTAAATGCTCAGACCTCAAACAGTGACAGAAACCAGTTTCCCATTAGGTCAGTGGTCGCCCCGGGAGGCCAATTCTCTTTAGCTCCCCTTTCACTCGTCATACAGCAAACACTGCCGGGTTGGGTGGAGGGAAAGCCGCTAGGCGCCGAGTTGCAATTAGACGCTCCATTATATAAAGGCATATTCAGATAACAGGGGCACCAATGAGGTCAGTACATGCCTTTTGTTGTGGGATTAATGAGATTTTTAATAAAACAAAAAAATGCCCCCTTCCTTATTGTAATGACCTAATGAGTGTGTTGGTGGCGCCGGGCCACGTTGGTGGGAAAGTCCCGCGGTCGTAGCAGTCTCTCGGTAGCCCCCCTCCACTTCATCCCTCCTTCCTTTCCCTGCACCTGCATCAACCCAGTGCTGCCCCGTGCTTTCCGGACCCCCCCACCTCCAGTGTTTGTATTCAAAGCTAGGAACCAAAGGAGTGTTTAATTACCATAAAATGCTATCGGCATTTAGCCCTCTGACAATATGAATGGCAACATAGAGCTCATT